AATGTTCCTGAAAATAAGGGTCAATGGCCTCCGTCCAATTCATAAAATATGTAGGTGTAAGGAAAACAATGCTCAAACTTATTGATGCAAGCTTTTGCTTCTCGCAATCTTTATCATCATCATCATCATTACAGCTTAGTCCACTGGTCAACATAGACCTCCCCCTAACGAGAAAATGCGTAGTAATTTCCCGAAAGCTGCATAGCCGAGTTGAATCCGTCGATTGACCTCTCGGTCGAAGTTGGACTTACCTAGTCGGACTATTTGTCCCAGGTAAACATATTCGTAGACAATTTCGATCTTATAGTTCTCAAAAACTACCGGCATAGGTGTGACATGGACGTTAAACATGATTTTTGTTTTGTCCATGTTCATCTTAAGACCTATCTGTTGGGAGACACTATTAAGGTCACTGAGCATAGTGCTTAGGTCGTCCAGCAATTCTGCCATAAGGACTATATCGTCGGCAAATCGAAGGTGATTGATGTACTCGCCATTGACGTTAATACCGTATCCTTTCCAGTTCAGTAGCTTGAAAACGTCTTTCAATGCAGCGGTGAAGAGTTTCGGGGATATTACGTCACCCTGTCTTACACCTCTCTGCCGACAGTCCACTTGGCACCGCTGGAGTGACTGCAGCACCGCCTAAATTCAATGGAATCAAAGGCTTTCTCATAGTCCACATACGCAAGACAAAGTGGCAGATTGTACTCCTCGGTCTTTTGTACAATTTGCCGAAGGGTATGTATGTGGTCTATGGTGCTAAAGCCTTTATTCTATAATAAAACCAGTTCACAAAAAAGGAGATGAAAAGGATCTCAATAACTATAGACCAATAACTTTGATCCCAGTAATATCAAAGATATTTGTGAGAACTATGTACGATAGATTAAGTAAATTTATACAAAGATTTGGTATCTTAACTGAAGATCAATTCGGTTTTCGCAAAAACAGATCTACAACTTTAGCATGCTTCAACTTTATTAAAGACATAGCAGAGAGTATCGATAGAAAAACTCCAGTAACTGCTCTCATGCTGGACATGACCAAAGCCTTTGATCTTATTGACCACAAAATCCTATTAAACAAAATTGAAAGTTACGGGATAAGAGGTGCGGCTTACACGTGGCTAAGCAGTTACTTGCAAGGCCGAAAACAATGCACAGAAATCACTCGGCTAACGCAAGCACAACAAGACGGCATATTTACGAAAGAACTATATCGTTCACAGTTTAGATCTAATGACCGTGGTGTCCCTCATGGTAGTATTTTAGGACCTTTAATATTTTTGCTATATATTAATGACTTGTCTAAAATAACCAAGCATAAATGCATCTTGTTCGCAGACGACACAACTTTTATATTTAAATGCACCAAAAAAGACATATGAAACCGAAATAAATAATTCTATTAATACTATTGTGACATGGCTTAATTCTAATAATCTCTTACTTAATATAGACAAAATAAAAATAATACAAATTGGAAATTACAAAATGGAACCCATAAATATGAATATAAAATATGAAAATTCGAAGATAGAAAATGTTGAATCAGTTATGTTTTTAGGTATTAAATATGACAAAAATTTAAACTGGAAGCTTCACATTGACCAGGTTTGTACAAAATTAAACCGGTTTGTATATGCTTTAAAAAGATTGAGAAAAACAATATCACAAAAAGCAGCCCTAACTGCTTATCACGGTTATGTGTCTTCAGTATTATTATATGGTCTGCCTTTGTGGGGGAATTCTGTTGATGTGATTAGAGCGTTTAAATTACAAAAGAAATGTGTGCGAGCTGTATGTGGTGCGTGGTTTCTTGATAGCTGCAAGCCATTGTTCAAAAAGATCCGCGTATTGCCTTTGCCATGCATGTATATCCGAGAAATATGTATTTTTGTAAAGCGACACCCCAATTATTTCAAAACCCACGCTGAATCTCTCGAAAGGCAAACAAGGCATAAAAATAGATTATTTCATCCCAAATGCAATTCTAGATTTTATGCAAACAGTGCTCCTATGATGGCTATTAAAATATATAATAAATTACCCAATAACTTAAAAGAAATGCCTTTGAATAAATTAAAAATTGAGATTAATAAATGGCTTCTTGACAAGTGTTATTATAGTGTTAAGGAATATTTTAATTGATTACAATATTATTAAATGTATTATATAATTTATCTATTTTGACATTATGTACAATTAAATTTGATTACTTTTAGATATATTTGCACACCGGTACAACTCCCGGTAGAATATTATTGTGACTTACTCTTATACTAAATACCTGTATTACCTACACATTTTATTCTGCAAATAAAGATTTTGACTTTAACTTTTCGGAAACCGGCTTGCTTGGGAGGCTGGAAGTCGTCGAGTCTGCATGGGAGATGATTCGTAATGACTCTCGAAAACAGCACGTAGAGCGGCTCAGAAGGGAAATCAGTCTGTAGTTCTTCAAGAGAGCGTTGTCGCCTTTCTTGAAGAACAAGACCACCGCACTTCCGCTCCACGCCTCCGGTGTAATGCCACCATGGAGGACGGAATAAAAGAGCTTCTGAAGGACTTCAAGTACCGGTTTTACACCCGCTTTCAGAAGCTCCGCTGTAATTCCATCCTCGCCCGGGGACTTGCCGTTTTTAAGGTGTTGGAGACCCATTCTAATCTCACTCACACTGACGTCCGGGATATCATCGGAATAGTGTCAGATAAGACTTGCTATTGGATCGTTACTCACACTTGCGTGTGGCTTCAACGATGACGTGTACAACTGCCAACAGAACCTCTCAATCTCACTCAAAATCTCAGGTGTCTCGGAAATGATGCTACCACATTCGGTCTTCAGCTTCGACAGTTGGCACTTTCTGGTAGACAGATCTCTGACAAAGACTTTGGAGCCCTGGTTACGCTCGATCGCTTCTTCAATACGAGCAGTATTAAAGTTGCGAAATTCCCGTCACATGCATTTGAAGATCTGTCTGTTCAGTTGCCTGTATGCTATCAAATCTACTGAAGACTGCAGCTTCATTTTCCGTCAACAGCCATGAGATTAAGAGTGTGATCGGAGAGTGTTTTGTGTTCTTCTGCGGCGGGACTTTCCACGAACTTGTCATTTATATCGTCCACTGCATTGAAATCTTCTAGGCACTGAAAACGATTTTTTAACTCCAGCTGAAAAGTTTCGGGACTTTGGAACAGAGCACGAGGGGGACGGAGCGTTGACTTCATTAGACGACACCTCTTCAACTTAACGTTTAGGTTCAGTGTGCCTCTAACCATTCGGTGATCGCTACCAGTTTTCACCCTCGCGATCACTGAGACATCACTGAACAGTTGTCGTCTGGTCATCATAATGAACTCATTTTTTGTCGAACCGTCGGGACTCGACAAGGTCCACTTCCTGTGGGGCCGCTTCTGGAAGAAAGAGTTCATCATAAAGAGTCCCTCTTTGCCCATGAAGTCGGCTAGCTGCTGGCCCCTCGGGTTCCGTTGCCCATCCAAATTTCCCTACTTCCAGCTCACCGTTCTCTCTTGTGCCTAGTTTTGCGTTGAAGTCTCCCATTAACACCGTATAGTGGTTTTTGAAGGAATACATGGCTCTAGAGATATCCTCTACATTTCCTCCACCTTCTCATCGGGATGTGCTGAGGTTGGTGCGTAAACCTGTATGACCTTTCATCCTCGTCGACACACTCACAATCTTTACAACGTTGTTAACAAGAGACTTGTGGACGATAAATCCGACACCTCCTTGGGACAGATGGTCGCCCTAACGGTGATAGAGCAAGTTGCCGGATTCGAGGATTACCGTGTCCTCCCCCTCTCTTCGGACCTCAGATAATCCTATAATATTCCAGCGCATCTTGTCTATCTCTTCTTCCAGCTCCAGGATCTTCTCGTCAGTCCTCAGGGTACGTACGTTATAAGTTGCCAGGTCGAGTTGTCTTAGGTGGCAACCGAACCCCGTACGTAACAATATGTTTAATCAGCTCTGCAGTTATCTGAACGATAGAATTACTTACTAACAATAACAGTCTACCTTGACAGAAGTTCGAGTCAGAAAATCTGGCAAACGGTTAAAAACTATATATCTCCTAATAGTGCCATTAAGTAGGTACATTTTCTCAAGGCCGGAATTTTGTACAAAATACAACTTTTTTTTTATTCTTAAAATACTTTTATGCCGTTCGTAAACTACTGTTTATTATTACTTAGTCCACCAATACATGTATTAGATAGTAATCTTTGCCACAAAGGAACGTTAACAAGTTTTTGCGACGTTCACAGAACACAGTTACTCATACCGAGAGCTGGCGTTCATATAGTATACCTAGTCTCTGATCTACCACGGCTCTTATTAATACAATAAATTATAAGCAGATAATTTGTAATTAATTGGAAAATTTAATTTCATAAGTAATTAATGTATTATTAATAATTACACATGTTACTACAAACCCGCCGTGTATTGGCGGTGTAAGAATATCCATTATCCCATATCATCCTGTGGGTGTCGCAAGAGACGATAGAGGGAATCAGGAGATGGGCAGCAGCGTCATCCTAATAACGAATAAAAATAAACTGTAATTGCCAAACGTGGCAACTATGGTAAATATCCCCTCTATGCGGCAATCTATGGGGAAGCCTGGAACAAGAAATAATTAATAAGTGAATATTATTATACATGTAGTTAAAACTATTGTCTTTTGTTAAGAATATTAATTTTATGTATATTAAGTTGTTTTTTAATAATATATTTTTAGTATATCTATGAATATACCCAACCAAATCAATATTAGTTTTTATATATTCACAACGTAATTTAACATTACTATTATATATTATTTATTTACATTGTTAAATTAACTTTAATGTTAACCTAAATTAACTATATTCATAATTGACCTTAATATGTATTTCACGTTTAACCTCATGTAAACGTAACAAGGATGTAAGTAGGTAAAAGTTAAATTAATAGCTAAGTTCTATCCGCAGCTGGAAACGAGCGACACAAACGCAACGCTAGAAGATTTGTACCCGGGCACAGTGTACGAGATACAAATCGCCGCGATCAGTCACGGCCTGCAAAGTGATTGGTACACCATACTCGAGCCAGTCCGTAAGTATCGCACCATATAGATGCTATTGAGAATGTAAATATATGTAACCATGTAGTATATGGTTACGATACATATATATTTACATTCTAGAGTCTAGAGTATTATATCACAGATGTTTTACTCAAAGATTACAAATATAGAGACTTCTATGTTGTATACTACAGGACCGGCAATTCAGAACAAAAACTGTGCCACAGCTGTGGATCGCGCGGACGCGGTATTTATCCCACGCAGTTGTATTTTTTTTTTATAGAAAAGCGAACGCGCTTGCGGCTCACCTGATAGTATGTGTCGACCGCCGCCCATGAACACCTTCAACACCAGGAGAATCGCAGGTGCGTTGCCGGCCTTCTAAAAAAGACTAGGCTCTTGAAGGTCCCTAAGTCGTATCGGTCCAGAAAAATCGCTGGCGACAGTCGATTTCACAAGGAAGTTGTGCGAGAAAGAAAACTTTCTTGTAAATCTCACATTGATGGACCGCCAATCATCCAGATGATATGGATGGTATAGCGAATTATGACGCGATGTGCGATGGTGAAACTGAGCGGCTGGAATTAGTCGGAACAATCCCTCAGCGCACTCCCCGTGGCAGATGCGATAAAATACGCAAAGAGATGCAACATCTCTTCGCAGTGCCAGTGAGTCAAGCCGATCAGAAAGAGCTCGGTCACCGACGATTCGATCCGCTCTGCACTAGATGCGATCAAATGAAGGGAGCTAGCACTTGGAAGCCCCGGCCCAGAGATAGGAACAATATTTCATGTGAGGCCGAACCTGCGCCTTGTAAAGTTGCAGACTTCCATTTACGTTATTTACCTATCTATTTAAGTTAATTACCTATCCAAAATAAATTTCAAATCACGTTTCAAAGTGCGCACATAAATAATGACAGAATTTTCTTAGTCATATTAAACAAAATCAGTGCTAGGTTGTCGAAAATGGTTTACGAAATAAATAACTAGTCTTCTCGCACGCTCGCAGTCTACTAAAGACGTTATGGAAAAATTGAGCGTAACTTATTAGTACCGCAGTGCGCAATGTATTAGTACCGTAGTGCCCGCCTACTGGTATACATAGAAGAAGTATTTGTATGTTAATTATCTATTCGAAGATTACATTTATTCGCACTGGTAAAATTAGCCTGATGTGGTTTGCTACATGGCGTTGCACATATTTTACATATGTTACTACTGACTACACCGCCGCCGTATGGTGGTGGCTTGTAGAGAATTCTTCACCGCTCGTGACTGTCGTAAAAAGCCATTACGGCTTGCCAGAAAACCTCATGGCTTACGATCAATAGCAATATGATCATGCCGTTCACACTTACGTGGGAGAGCCATGCTGTAGCTGTATTTTTTTTTTTTTTTTTTTTTTTTTTTATAGGAGAGGGGGCAAACGAGCATGCGGCTCACCTGATGGTAAGTGACTACCGCCGCCCATGAACAACCGCAACACCAGGGGAATTGCAGATGCGTTGCCGGCCTTTTAAAAAGGAGTAGGCTCTTTTCTTGAAGGTCCCTAAGTCATATCGGTCCGGAAAAATCGCTGATGGTAATCGATTCCACAAGGAAGTCGTGCGAGGAAGAAAACATCTTCTAAATCGCACAGTGGTGGACCGCCAATCATCCAGATGGTGTGGATGGTATCGGGAGTTCTGCCGCGATGTGCGTTCATGAAATTTGGCGGCTGGGATTAATCCGAACAATTCCTCAGAGCACTCCCCATGGTAGATGCGAAAGAAAATGCAAAGAGATGCAACATCTCTTCGCAGTGCCAATGAATCGAGCCGATCGGAAAGGGCTCGGTCGTCGACGATTCGAGCCGCTCTGCGCTGGATGCGGTCAAGTGGAAGGAGCTGGCACTGGGGAGCCCCTGCCCAGAGATGGGAACAGTATTCCATGTGAGGCCGAACCTGCGCCTTGTAAAGTTGCAGGCGGTGTGCCGGCATGAAATACTGTCCCGCTCTGCTGAGCACGCCAAGCTTTTTAGAGGCCAATTTGGCCTTCTCTTCCAAGTGACCACGAAACTGCACGTCACTCGATATGTCGACTCCGAGGATACCGATACTGGCTGAGGCAAGAAGGGGAGTGCCTTGAAACTGAGGAGATACGACAAAGGGGTTCTTTTTAGCGGTAAACGCGCAAACTTGTGTCTTCTGAGGATTAAACTGGACTAGATTTAGTCGCCCCCAATCCGAGACTTTGTCCAGCAAAGACTCGACTTCAGACACAAGTTTGTTCCGGTACTCGGCGACGTTTTCCCGAGAAATATTGGCCCGGCCGGTGTATAGAGCATCACCAGTGCTGTCATCCGCATAGCAATGAATGTTACCAGTTAGCAACATATCATTGATATGCAGAAGAAACAGCGTTGGTGATAGCACACAGCCTTGTGGAACACCAGCGTTAATAGGCTTGTAGTCAGAACATGCACCGTCTACAACGACCTTGATGCTCCGATCTGCAAGGAAGCTGGTGATCCAATTGCACAATTTCTCGGGAAGCCCATAGGAAGGGAGCTTCGAAAGAAGCGCTTTGTGCCAAACCCGATCGAAGGCCTTCGCAATGTCCAGACTAACGGCCAACGCCTCCCCCTTGGACTCTACTGCCTCCGCCCATCTATGGGTCAGGTAGACTAGAAGATCACCAGCTGATCGACCCCGACGAAAACCGTATTGGCGGTCACTGATCAGCTGGTGATCCTCAAGGTACCGGATGAGCTGGCAGTTAATAATGGATTCCATTATTTTGGAGAACAAGGAGGTGATCGCGATAGGCCTATAGTTGGACGGGTCTGAGCGGTCGCCTTTTTTAGGGATCGGGTGGACAAAAGCTGTCTTCCATGAGTTCGGGACAACGCCATGGGAGTAGGAGTACCGGAAAAGACGCGTTAGAACCGGTGCCAACTCCGGAGCACACGTCCTCAGCACAATTGGGGGGATTCCGTCAGGCCCACTCGACTTGTGGATGTCAAGGGAGAGGAGTGCTCTGCGAACCGAGCGCTGTGAGAATAGCACATCCGGCATAGAGCACTCACACGGTTGTAGCACGAATGGGTCGCCTCGACCGGCGTGGGACGCTCTCACAAGGTACCAGCGTGAAATAGCAGCTTTAATATTTGTTTTCATAGAATAAGGGTGACAAACGGGCACGAAGTCCACCTGATGATAGGTGGATGCTGTGGCCCATTGATATCTATCCTCGATTAAGAATCAAAATTCAAATGCGCTGTCACTAATAAGAACTAAGATGGGATGCCTCCTTACCGGTAAAGAAAATTTCCGGTTATCGACACTCACTATAAGAAACACAGCAGCACTATGCTGCTATTTTAAGATGGTATCCTGTGACCCTGTGAGAGCGTGATCCTTCCCCAGTTGAGTCGACCTATTTCCGCTACAACTATACAACAAATATATAACTGCAGCATGGCTCCACCGTGTAAAAAACTAATTTTGTATGTGGGCGCCGTACACAGTAACATCAAGCTGCTATTTCACGCCGGTATTCTGTGAGAGCGTAGTCCTTGCCCGGTCGAGCTGACCCATTCGTGTTATAACTATGATATAACTGTGTTGGTCAAATAAATGTTTCTTTCTTTCTTTAATGGGTTAACAACTGCGTGTGTGCAGGTCCTCTGCCGGCACAGTGGCTGCAAGTGGAGCGCGCGACATCCAACTCGGTGTCGGTGCGGTGGCGCGGTCCGGCCTCCGGCGCACTGGGGGGGCTGGCTCTGCGCTACCGCACGCAGCATCCCGCCTCGGCCTGGACCAGTCTGCCGCATCTGCAGCCCGCACTCACCTCCGCAGAAGTACGTACCGCCTTTCACATTAATCACTGTTACAAAATACTCTCAACTATACGAATTAGTAGAGGGCGATACAAATCGTAAATAGATACAATATCTATATATAGGTACAATATCCAATATACTATATATCGGAAAACAGACTAACTATGTACATATGAATATCTTACAACAAACTCGAAGAAATGCTAGTAATCTAAAATTCTATGATATTATGTTGAACAAGTGGAGTTTTACCGCTTTTTAATTATCTACCCTCATTTCTAACCCCACGTACCTGGGTACTGTGGTGGGTGTCACTAGTGGCCGTGGTCGTAAACACGATTGCTCATCATGAGGGTTCAAATCCCGTGTCGGGCCAAAAGTTATCACGCATCGGTAAAACGATCTCTTTGACAATGGTCTTACTCTCCGACCAATTCAGAGGTAATAAAACCAAATAAATTTGCAAATGACAAATTATTTAAATGTTATTTAATTTTTTTAGGTGAATATTTCTAAAGTTATTTGTATACGGTTGTTAACTGATTCTGATAACGCACTTAATAATAATCAGCCGATGCATCTATTACAACATTACACCTATCTTGTAATATCAGCGACAGTAGATTAAGTGAATGTAGGGTAGCCCTTGTATCATGCTAAAGGCGCGTTCATCACCAATCTTACCAACATCAAAACTCCACTGTTATGTTCAACATAGGCGTCAGCACCTCCCACCCCTACCCCCGAGCTACATACCTGCGGTAATTGACTTTCTACACGTCTCATCAAGTTGCTCCTCTACCTAATTAGGTATACTGCCTGCTACTTTACGTTTGCAGGTACAAGGTTACCATTCGAGAAAATTCCTTGCCTGTCGTGTAGTGTTCATATATCGACTTACAGGGGACTGAACGCAGTATTTAAGAATATTTTAATAAGAAAATTGCCATTGTCTACCCTCTTGAAATCATCACATTTCTGGAAAATTCCTCCTAAATTATATTACCATGCATCAAAAATCACAAAATATACCTACACTAGGGGACATTTTGTCTCGCAACATGTCGATGCAACATTGCACAGTTACCCGTAACATGGTCCGCAACATTTTACATGACCCGGGACAAGTTGCTTGTTCCCGCTCCGAGAGTGAGCGCACATGTCCCGTGTGAGTGTCAACATGTCATTAATGTGGAGAAACGAAACCGTGCTTTTACTTCTTGAGTTTTATCAGAGTCATATTTTGTTGTGGGATACTTCAAACCACAAACTTCTGATACTATTCTGTCGATCACTTGTCTCGACACTCGAAAAGTGTACGACATGTGTCATATGAAGGGGATACCGTCAGACATTCGAAGATTACTTAAAATATTAATTTTTTTTTCTTCTCGTTGTAGTAAGAAATACCGCATCCCCCCACCTTCTCATTCGCTTATGTTTCACTCCCGAAATAAGTACTAATCGCCACAACCTCCTCGGCGACATTTCTATATGCACTAGTCAGTGCATGTGGCTTGCAAAATGTTACGCAACATATGTCTCGGGACATTCCACGTAGTTGTTGAACGATATGTTGCACAACATGTCGCTCCTTTTGTCCCCAAGTATATCCAAGGCTTTAACCGAAACTACTACTAAAACTGAAAACACTTATCATGCAGTCCTACTCTACGCGGTATCGTGCCAAGAACTCTGGCTGCATTTCCTCGCCGAATGGCTATACTTAGCCTTTGAGCAAGAAAAGGATCAGCTTTATTTTACTGTAAATAATCATTGTTTTCACTTGTCGCGTCCGCAGATCACTAATATGACGCACGGTGAACGTTACACCATCGAGCTGGATACTGTGAGCGAAGCTGCCGACCAGAAGACGGTCACCAGTGGAGAGCCGCTCACCGCCGAGCACACTGTCCGTACGTACACGCAATTTATGTAATTTATATAAATATAAAAGATACAATGATTTTCTTATAAAATAAGGGTAAAAACCAGCACACATTCTACCTGATGGTAAGTGGATACTGTGGCCCACAGTCACATCTAAATTTTCGTTGTCGCCCTTGAAAACTAACATGACTCTTTTCCAGTGAAAGAGTATTTGGTTCTCTACAGTCGCAAAACAGCAGCATTTCATATCTGCCGAGCATCCCGTGATGGCTAACTTTTTTATCCTTAAAACCTAGATACAGCAGTGAGGGCCCTGCTTCTTGGTGGCAGAAATAGATGAGATTAGTACTCATAACTGAGACTACGAGATAGAAAATGAGTTGATGTTGGAGTTGTATACTGAAGGGAGTGTTATGATGCAGGTCCGAACCCTGTGTCGAACGTGGAGCAGCTGGCAGACACGCTGAACATGACGCTGGAGTGGCCGCGCCCCGCCGGCCGCGTGGAGTGGTACGAGCTGCGCTGGTGGCCGAGCGGCGAGGAGGGCGAGGAGGGAGCGGAGGGCGGGGAGGGCGCGGAGGGCGAGGCGATGGGCGCGCGCAACATCAGCGCCGGGGAGGACGGCTCTACGCGAGTGCGCGCGCTGCTGGGCGGGCTGCGGCCGGGCCGCGGCTACCACGTGTCCATCGCGGCGCACTCCTACAACCTCACCAGTGACCTGTTCACCATGCACGCGCGCACGCGTACGTACACTACACACATTAGACACTAAACAATTAAACTTTTCTATGTACTACAAGATCGGCAATTCAGAACAAAAATTGTGTCACGGCTGTTGTAAATATGAAGCAGGTGTATTTTGATTTACAAAAGTTACTGTTTTCAAACAAATACTAAAATTACATACTCATCTATACAAATAAATAAAATTGAAGTGTCTGTTTGTAATGTCAAAATTACAGTTTTTTACTAAATGCATATGAAAGTAAATACGATACCTATAACTAAAATACAATTTTTAAAATTTTTGTCTGTCTGTCTGTCTGTCTGTCTGTCTGTTTGTTCCGGGTAATCTCCGAAACGGCTGGACCGATTTTGACGGGACTTTCACTGGCAGATAGCTGATTTCATAAGGAGTAACTTAGGCTACTTTTATTTTAGAAAAAGAATCAGGGTTCCGCGCAGAAACATAAAAACCCTAACACGCGAACGAAGTCGCGGGGAACAGCTAGTCTGAAATAAACTTTGAACCACGATGATAAAGTGCACACAAATAATGATAATGTTTTTCTTAGTCACATAAAACAAAATCGGTGTTAGATTGTCGAAAACAACGATAGCGGTTTACAAAACAAAGAGTTACGGAGAATTGACAGTAACTTAGTACGTAATGTATTAAGGCTGCAGAATCCGTCTTGTAGTATACATAGAAGTGTTTATACACGATTTAAGTTTCGAAGCTTTCTGTCTTGCGAAATGCGGGGCCAGATTTCGCTCACGTTATTTTTAAAATATACAAACAAAAAGAGGATTGTATACCAACCGCGCACAGACGAAACTTGCAAGCGTATAAAGCATAAAACGCTTTAAATGTAGAAATGTCGCAGTTGTATCCTAGTTTTAGACATTGTATTAAGCTATTCCGTCAACAGTGTATAAATTAACGAATTTTCATTGTTACTTCATTGATTTTAACTTTTTTTTTATCATCCATGCTAAACATCTATTATTCATTATTAACTATTATAAAACACCGGTACTTGAAGTCCTTCAGAAGCTCTTACTAAATACGTTTTTTTTACGAAAAAATTTCGAATTACGTTCTTGATGGTGGGACTACTCCAGAGGCGTGGAGCAGAAGTGCGGTGGTCTTGTTCTTCAAGAAAGGTGACACCGCTCTCTTAAAGAACCAGACTCGACTACTTCCAGACTCCCGAACAAGCCGGTTTCTGAAAAGTTCACATATTCTTCGGCAAATTGTACAGAAAACTGAAGAGTACAATCTGCCACTTTGTCTAGCGTATGTGGACTATGAGATAGCCTTTGATTCCATCGAAATTTGGGCGATGCTGCAATCCCTTCAACGGTGCCAAGTTGACTGTCGGTATATCGAAGTGCTGAAGTGTTTGTACAGTAGGGCTACGATGGCTATCCGAGTACAGAACCAGAGTACTAAACCTATCCAACTGCAGAGAGGTGTAAGACGGGTGACGTTATATCCCGGAAACTCTTCACCGCTGCATTGGAAGACGTTTTCAAGCTACTGGACTGAACAGGATACGGTATTAACGTCAATGGCGAGTACATCACTCACTATATAGTCCTTATGGCAGAATCGCTGGAGGACCCAAGCACTATGCTTAATGACCTTAATAGTGTCTCCCAACAGATAGGTCTTAAGATGAACATGGACAAAACAAAAGTCACGTGTAATGTCCATGTCACACCTATTTCGGTAGTTGTTGAGAGCACTAAGCTCTAAATTGTTGACGAGTATGTTTACCTGGGATAAATAGTCCGAGTAGGTAAGTCCAACTTCGACCGAGAAGTCAATCGACGGATTCAACTCTGCTGGGCAGCGTTCGGGAGATTACGACACAACTTCTCGTCAGGCATACCTCAAAACTAGATTGTTCAATCAGTGCTTGTTGCCAGTGATGACCTATGGATCTGAGACGTGGTCCTTCACTGCTGGCCGTATGAGGAAGCTTAAAGTCACTCAGCGAGCTATAGAGAGGGCTATGCTAGGGGTTTCTCTGCGTGATAGACTTAAAAACGATATTTGCAGTGAAACCATAGTAACCGACATAGCCCAACGGGTTAGTAAGCTGAAGTAGCAATGGGCCGGCCATATAGCTCGAAAAACCGAAAACCGATGGGGAAGAAAGGATCTCGAGTGGCAGCCTCGTACCGGCGGACGAAGTGTAGGGCGTCCCCCCACTAGATGGAGTGATGACCTGGTAAGACATGCAGGAAGTCAGTGGATGCAGGTGACTCGGGACCGTGCTTTGTGCCGTTGCGTGGGAAGGCCAATGTTCAGCAGTGGACTTGTGATGAGCTGTAATGATGATTATGAAAACATGAGCCCCCATTGTCAATTAATTATGAAGATGTAAATAATGCTCTATCGAAATTAGTACATTGGTTTAACGCCAACAATATGCTCTTAAACGGCAATAAGACAAAGTGTATTAAATTTACAATACCTAATGTAAAACATTCGAATACCAATGTGCTGTTAAATGGGGAGGAGTTGAGTCTTGTGGATACCACTGTTTTTCTTGGTATTACTATTGACGCCAAACTTCAATGGGGCCCCCATATATCTAAATTAGCAAGCAGACTTAGTTCTGCAGAATATGCTGTAAGAAAGATTAGAAGTCTCACAGATGTTGAGACAGCTAGATTAGTGTATTTTAGTTACTTTCATAGCGTAATGTCTTATGGAATTTTGCCATGTGGTAATGTGACTCATAATGAAGCTATATTTGTTTTGCAAAAGAGAGCCGTTTGGGCGATTTATAACCTAAATTGTAAAGAGTCCCTCAGAGAAAAATTTAAAGAAATAAACATATTAAATTTGGCATCGCAATATATTTATGAAAATGTAATGTATGTACATAAAAACATAAATAGCTTTAATAAGAATAAAGACGTGCATACTTTAAACACTAGGAACAAACTTAAGCTTGTAATGCCAGTTACTAGACTCCACAGAATTAGTAATTCATTTATGGGGCAATGTATACGCTTTTACAACAAAATCAGAGAACATGTTCAAAGTTTGTCAATAAACAAGTTTAAAAGTTTTATTAAAGAAAAACTATACAAAAAGGGTTATTATAATATCAAGGAATACATGAATGAAAATAACCCCTGGGAATAAGGTGATCGCCACCATTCTGGTTCTATGAAAATTCATTTAAAATTGTATAAACAAAATTATTGTTAAGTGAAATTATGTTAAAAAAAAAGTCCCGCTGGGTTTCTTGCTGGTTCTTCCAGGACAGAGGTATTTTCCCAACCAGTGGTAAATAAAAAATGACTTTCAATAAGTATTATGTAATAATACCATCAGGTGGGATCGTAGATAAGCCCTGGCTTAGTAGAATATAAAAAAAATCAATAATGAATAAAAAATCATTCTATTCTATTTACACTAGCGTTTTTCCAGTATCGTAAAGGCTGTTTAAATACATAAATTTCACAGGGATGAACATGCAGACCCGGAACAATTATTTGTAGACCAAACAAATACTTGTTCCGTGCGGGATACGAACCCGCGCCACTCAGCGCCGCAACCCGTTGCTAAGCCACTGCGCCATAGAGCCGTCAATCCATAAAATATCTATACTTCCATAGATCCATAAAATTTTACTTGTATTCCCGTAAATAAAAAAAACATCTGTATAAAAATATTGTAAAATGGGTAATGAACACAAGAAAGATACGTAACACAAAACGATTCTCAGCTATTCGATTTTCGAGCTTTCACTGGTTGATTACAACCATAAATTTAAAATGGTCCTTCAACTGCAGCAAAATTAGACAACAAGAATTGTTCTATATAAATTGGATTGCAGGTCCCGTTATCCAATCAGAGATGATCGTGAACGAGTCCAGCCGACCCGAGTCCGACGACAATGAAACCGTATCTGCAGACTTGGTATGTACTTTTCATACGTTTTAGCGAAAAAATTCTAATATCTCTATAAAAAACATTTTAATCTTATTGCTTGTACTGTACCCTTTTAAATGAACTATCTGAATAAATAGTGGATATTATTTATAACGCATTATATAATAAGTATGTGAGAATACAACTACGGGGCATATTTACCGTGCCAGCAGTCCTCCATGGTGGCACTACTCCGGAGGCGTGGAGCAGAAGGTCTTGTTCTTCAAGAAAGGCGACAACGCTCTCTTGAAGAACTACAGACCGATTTCCCTTTTGAGCCGCGTCTACGTGCTGTTTTCGAGATTCATAACGAATCGTCTCGCGCGCAGACTTGACGACTTCCCGAACAAGCTGGTTTCCGAAAGGGCTTTAGCACCATAGACCACATACATACCCTTCGGCAAATTGTACAGAAGTCCGAGGAGTACAATTTGCCACTATGTCTGGTGTATGTGGACTATGAGAAAGCCTTTGATTCCGTCGAAATTTGGGCGGTGTTGCAGTCCCTTCAGCGGTACCAAGTTGACTGTCGGTATATCGAAGTGCTGAAGTGTTTGTATAGTAGAGCTACGATGGCTATCCGAATACAGAACCAGAGCACGAAACCTATCCAATTGCAGAGAGGTGTAAGACAGGGTGATGTAATATCTCCGAAACTCTTCACCGCTGCGTTGTAAGACGTTTTCAAGCTTCTGGACTGGAAAGGATACGGTACGTGAGGTCAATTGACGGATTCAACTCTGCTGGGCAGCATTCGGGAGATTACGACACAACTTCTCGTCAGGCATACCTCAAAACCTCAAAACTAGATTGTTCAATCAGTGCTTGTTGCCAGTGATGACCTATGGATCTGAGACGTGGTCCTTCACTGCTGGCCGTATGAGGAAGCTTAAAGTCGCTCAGCGAGCTATGGAGAGGGCTATGCTCGGAGTTTCTCTGCGTAATAAACTTAGAAATGAGTATATCCGCAGTAGAACCAGAGTAACCGACATAGGCCAACGGATTAGTAAACTGAAGTGGCAGTGGGCCGGCAATATAGCTCGAAGAACCGACAACCGATGGGGAAGAAAGGTTCTTGAGTGGCAGCCTCGTATCGGTAGGCGAAGTGTAGGGCGACCCCCCACGAGATGGAGTGACGACCTGGTAAGATATGCAGGAAGTCGATGAATGCAGGTGGCTCAGGGACCGTGGTTTGAGGCATTCCTTGGGGGAGGCCTATGTTCATCAGTGGATTTATGAAAGGCTGTAATGATGATGAAGACGCTGCTGCCCATATCTTGATTTGTTTCCCTCTGTCGCCTCTTACAACACCCGTGGTTTACGATCGTTGGGATGCTTTAACCAGCGCCACTGATTGAACCAACATTTATTAAGCAGCTTGGTCGACTGGCTTCCCTCGAGGATGCTGACCCTAATATAGTGTTGTGGATATTCTTACAGTGCCACTATATGGTGACGCGACTACACAATGTGCTTATACCATTAACCATTACCATATTACAAATTATTTTAAAATAATATAAAGTTGCAGGTGGCAACCTGCCTGCCAATTGTGGCAATTATTGCAAAATCCTTCTTATGAGGCAATCTATGGGACAATCCTTTTTAACCCGTGAAATTTTATAGGCTGTAATGATATTGGCGTAATCAATTCTGTGTTTTATCAATTAATTTGTTTCAACGTGTAACAACGTGTACGTGTACGTGTGCGTGCGTGTGTAGCGCGTGGTGTACACACGCACACCTGCAGCCGCGGCGCAGTTCGACGCGTACCGCTTCCGGCTGGAGGCGGCGGGCGAGGCGCCGCGCACGCTGCAGCGGCCCGCCGCGGCCGACTCGCACGCGGTCGACTTCCGCGGCCTCGTGCCCGGCCGCCTCTACAACCTCACCATGTGGACCGTCTCGCGCAACGTCACCAGCCACCCCGTGCAGCGCCAGGCGCGCCTGTGTACGTACTCACTCACACACACGCACACACACGCACACCTGCGGCCGCGGCGCAGTTCGACGCGTACCGCTTCCGGCTGGAGGCGGCGGGCGAGGCGCCGCGCACGCTGCAGCGGCCCGCCGCGGCCGACTCGCACGCGGTCGACTTCCGCGGCCTCGTGCCCGGCCGCCTCTACAACCTCACCATGTGGACCGTCTCGCGCAACGTCACCAGCCACCCCGTGCAGCGCCAGGCGCGCCTGTGTACGTACTCACTCACACACACGCACACACACGCACACCTGCGGCCGCGGCGCAGTTCGACGCGTACCGCTTCCGGCTGGAGGCGGCGGGCGAGGCGCCGCGCACGCTGCAGCGGGCCGCCGCGGCCGACTCGCACGCGGTCGACTTCCGCGGCCTCGTGCCCGGCCGCCTCTACAACCTCACCATGTGGACCGTCTCGCGCAACGTCACCAGCCACCCCGTGCAGCGCCAGGCGCGCCTGTGTACGTACTCACTCACACACACGCACACACACGCACACCTGCGGCCGCGGCGCAGTTCGACGCGTACCGCTTCCGGCTGGAGGCGGCGGGCGAGGCGCCGCGCACGCTGCAGCGGGCCGCCGCGGCCGACTCGCACGCGGTCGACTTCCGCGGCCTCGTGCCCGGCCGCCTCTACAACCTCACCATGTGGACCGTCTCGCGCAACGTCACCAGCCACCCCGTGCAGCGCCAGGCGCGACTGTGTACGTACTACACTTGTCACCCTTTCTCTATTAAAAATCATTGCCAACTACGGAGAATACGGTACATACAAAATAGACACTGACTCTGACGCCTGTGACTACGAAAACAGTTTATAGTACAACTAAAATATGAATTCACCTTCAAAAATATTATCAACCAAGAGTGAAGCCGCACCGTTATGATTTCAACGCAATGCGTGTCATACGGGTGACGGAAAGCAACGCCGCTTACTATGATGTGGTGTTGTGCCAGCTCAGCCATTTTAAAGATCTCTCTGTACTAGTTCACGATGGACAGTGCAACTAGTTTATTTAATTAGTTCTGTTAACAAAAATGGACACCGGTTGTATTATGTCGTGTGACGTTGTACTAGACCCCCGGCCGGTGTCGGAGCTGCGCGCGACCGAGGTGGGCGCTCGGCATGTGGCGCTGGCGTGGGCGCGGCCGCCCGGCGACTTCACGGACTTCGAGGTGCAGTACCTGGCGGCGCCCGACCAGCTGCAGGCCGTGCGCACTGACAAACTGCACCTCAACCTCACGGCCCTGCGCCCGCACCGCGACTACACCTTCACCGTAGAGGTAATCAATAATAACCATGTCCTCCACCAAACCAAATTTCAGTCATGGCGACCAGCCTCAACGGAGACTAGGCCTCTGCGCAGGACAGGATTATAGTGCCCAAGTGTATGCGCAAGCACAGGTGCACTCTCTATTCCCTCACTCTCATAGTCCGTCTCATAGACGGTAAACCGTGCTTTCCGAGGTACGAAGGTGAACTACCGTCAAATTTCGGATTTCAAGCTGCTACTGAAAAATTCTTGACTGAAAAACCCATTACTTAATAGATTTTTGGCCCGACCCGGTATTCAAACCTGGGACTTCATAATCAACAATTGCGTTTACGATTACGAGCACTAAACCAACGAGGCAGTCACCCGTGGTCCACATAGAGATACGTATACATACTCGGACTGATTCGATATTCTACGTCACTGGTTAGAAGTTATGATGAATCCCCATCTAATAGCTTACTTTCAATCTTATCGTTGAAGCATGGAATATCAGCCATCGGTATTATATATATTTAGACGAATAAGCACACTTTTCTATATAGAATTAGGTTGACAAACGAGTACAGAGTCCACCTGATGGTAAGTGGATGGTATGACCTATAGAGATCTACGTTTTCGATTAAGAATCAAAAGTTCTATATGAAACAGTGGACTTGTGAAGGGCTGTAATAATGATGATGATAATGAAGAATCAAAATGCAGATGCGTTCTCATCCCCAAGGACTAAGATGGAATGCCGCGTTTTCAGTAAAAAGGGTCTCCGGTTTTGTTCACTCACCATACGGAACACAGCAGTATTAAGGTGTCATTTGACGCTGATATTCTGTGAGAGCGTGGTCCTACCCCGGCCGGGCCGACTCATTCGTGCTGCAGCCATAATATAGTTGCAGTGTGGCTCTACCATGTATTGCAATGCACGTGTGTGCGTGCGCGTGTGTGAATGCTTGTGCGTGTGTGCGTGCGTGTGCAGATGCTCACGGGCAGTGCCGTGCTCATGTGGTATGTGTGCGTGTGCGTGTGTACGTGTGCGTGCGTGTGCAGACGCGGGCGGGCACGCCGGCGACGATCCTGAAGCGGTCGCGCGCGCGCTCGCTGGCGGTGCGCGTGCTCATGTTGTGTGTGTATGTGTGCGTGTGTACGTGTGCGTGCGTGTGCAGACGCGGGCGGGCACGCCGGCGACGATCCTGACGCGGTCGCGCGCGCGCTCGCTGGCGGTGCGCGTGCTCATGTTGTGTGTGTATGTGTGCGTGTGTACGTGTGCGTGCGTGTGCAGACGCGGGCGGGCACGCCGGCGACGATCCTGACGCGGTCGCGCGCGCGCTCGCTGGCGGTGCGCGTGCTCATGTTGTGTGTGTATGTGTGCGTGTGTACGTGTGCGTGCGTGTGCAGACGCGGGCGGGCACGCCGGCGACGATCCTGACGCGGTCGCGCGCGCGCTCGCTGGCGGTGCGCGTGCTCATGTTGTGTGTGTATGTGTGCGTGTGTACGTGTGCGTGCGTGTGCAGACGCGGGCGGGCACGCCGGCGACGATCCTGACGCGGTCGCGCGCGCGCTCGCTGGCGGTGCGCGTGCTCATGTTGTGTGTGTATGTGTGCGTGTGTACGTGTGCGTGCGTGTGCAGACGCGGGCGGGCACGCCGGCGACGATCCTGACGCGGTCGCGCGCGCGCTCGCTGGCGGTGCGCGTGCTCATGTTGTGTGTGTATGTGTGCGTGTGTACGTGTGCGTGCGTGTGCAGACGCGGGCGGGCACGCCGGCGACGATCCTGACGCGGTCGCGCGCGCGCTCGCTGGCGGTGCGCGTGCTCATGTTGTGTGTGTATGTGTGCGTGTGTACGTGTGCGTGCGTGTGCAGACGCGGGCGGGCACGCCGGCGACGATCCTGACGCGGTCGCGCGCGCGCTCGCTGGCGGTGCGCGTGCTCATGTTGTGTGTGTATGTGTGCGTGTGTACGTGTGCGTGCGTGTGCAGACGCGGGCGGGCACGCCGGCGACGATCCTGACGCGGTCGCGCGCGCGCTCGCTGGCGGTGCGCGTGCTCATGTTGTGTGTGTATGTGTGCGTGTGTACGTGTGCGTGCGTGTGCAGACGCGGGCGGGCACGCCGGCGACGATCCTGACGCGGTCGCGCGCGCGCTCGCTGGCGGTGCGCACGCGCGAGGCGGCGCCGGGCGCGCCGCGTAACTTCGCGCCGCGCGACGCGCGCCCCAGTGAGCTCACGTTTGCGTGGCACCTGCCGCCTGACGAGCGCAACGGCGTACTCCGACGCTACATACTCACCTATGCGCCTCGCGACCATCCCGACGACGTGCACACGCTCGAATTCCCACCCGACGGTAGGTTCCAACACTGGTAATTATAGCTATTAAAAATGGTCCGTCCAGCCGGATCACTATAGAATAAATAATTCTTTGTGATTTTGAATTTTTTTTTATTTATAGGATCGAGTGACAAACGAGCACACAGTCCACCTGATGGTAAGCGGTTGCTAAACATTGCGCATTGAGACATTTATCCTCGTTTGCGAATCAAAATGCAGATGCGTTGTCAACCGTGAGGACTAAGTTGGAATGCCTCCCTTCCAGTAAAAAGAGTCTCCGGTTCTCTACACTCACCATACGAAACACAGCAGTGTTAAACTGCTATTTTACGCTGGTATTCTGTGAGAGCGTGGTCCTTCCCCGGTCGAGCCGACCCATTCGTGCTACAACTATACTACTAATACATCTGCAGCATGGCTCTACCACGTAAAAACTTGAGTACACGAATAAAGAACAATGGCAGAAAAATAGTTGACAACAATTATTGCATCTAGAGATAGGTTATATATATAATGCGTTTTATTATTTTTCTATGATTTTTCAAATAAAAATGTATTTTAGTTAAAGCCACAGAAAAAAAAACAAACATTTTTGGGAATATCAAATGACTTAAATCATTTTACTCTATTCAAGTGTTGCTATTTATTTATTTCATACAATTTTCCTATAACTTTGTAAGACTACCAACAGAACACACATACACAAGATATTTTTATGTTAAGTTATTATTAGTAATAACTATACTATCAGTAATAATAAAAATAAAAGTGATATGGTTGAAAATAAGTCTCTTACAAAGAACGTCCTACAATATTACATTATCTCAATCATAGCACTATGTAACAATTCCATTTAATGTTATAGCAACACTGATATTGCAGGAGTCGCAGAAAGGAATAATAAATACGCCTGATTGTTAGTTGTTTCCTTTACTAATTTTACAGCACGAAAAGCCCCTCAATCATTATTGCAATCGTTTTTATAATATCACACAATGGTTGTAGCTACCCCTACTACCTATCCAAACTGAACCTAGCAACAGTTCGAATGTGTAAGACGCCCATTACACGCCTAGGCAAGCGTCAATCAGTTCAATCAATCATGATAGACGTTTGTATGATAGAATAATTTCGACATTACACGCTCATGCTGACTGATGTCAGTCAAACCCAAATTTTTGGAGGGAAAGGACGTACTTATAAACTAAGTTCATTTTCGATTCACTATTTAATTATAATTTTATATCTTGAAAAGAGAAAGAATAAAAACGAATATGAAAAATTGTAATATTTAATATAATTTTACCCATTTTAATTTAACGCGCGAATTAAGATAATGAACCCAACTTCAATAAAAAATATATTTATTTATTTTGACAGAGTTACAGTAAGAAGTTTATTACTACAATATTCGATTTTAAATGATTACAATTGTCTATTTATACTTAAGTTATATGCTACAAAACTATTTACTAAGCTTATTTACTGCATACGTTTGACCCAGATGGGATTGCTGATGATGTGCGAACGAATGAGATTTGGCAGGGGTGCTCATCCTTAACTCCTCCCCCCTCAAGAGAGAAATTATCCGAAGGTGGCTCAAGCGACTTCGGAGAATTTCGACAACATAATTTGAATTTAATTAAAATGCTACATACTATACAGATTACTATAATGAGATATAAACTTATGGTCCATACACTGATTTCACTTGTTACTAAGAATTTTGTATTTATTTCGTTATCACTGAATTTAGCACTATTTATTAGTTCTTTTATATCACTGAAGTCCACGTTTCTTAAATCTAACTGTTTTGCTTCTTTCTTGATGTCACCCTCTCGTACGGTTGGCATCTCGATTGTGGGAAGCTGAAGTTTGATATTCGCAAAGTACCTCGGAGCGTTGATGAATGTGTCTCCAACCTGTGTTCTGCATTCTTGATTAGGTATCATTATATATGTGCCTTGCAATTGGTATTTTTGTACATGTTCTGGACAGTGTTCAGTTATTATCAAGTTCTTAGTGGTATACAGTAGCCAATAGTTCTTGAAGATCCTCTGGATTTTCAAATTCTCCAATCGTATATTATGTTGCTGGCAGCTACTGTGGTTGGTTTTCATCTGCATTATTTGCTCAATACATGTTTCAGCTGGATACTCTGCGAGACTTTCCTCTAGGCATAAGAACTTTTCATCGTCGATTTCTTCACAGGGACTCACCGCTGATCGGTATTTCAATCTTTTCACCAATAGGAAAGGATATGATGGGATTATGATATGGGTAACATCGGAATTAGATATTGGAATTGGTATTATTTTGTAGTATGTGTATATGTCTGGTTCAATTAATGGGATATCTAATACAAAAACTAAGTTATTCCTATTGACATACGATTTAACTACTATATTTCTTTCTAACTTAATTAAATTTTCCTTATTTGCTGGGTAAATCAATTTGGCATATTTTTCTATATTTATTAACATATTTAATAGTTCTGTTGAATTTATGATTGATTGATGTAAAGTATGTAATTTACTAAAAGCAATAGCTGTTTCTATTTCTTGTATTACATCTAAAATTGTTCGAAAATTGTTCGAAATTTGATATAAAGTATTTAATATTGTTACAACATTTTTTAGAGACCTTTCCTTATAAAGTATAGAAACTATTTCCTGATTTTGTAAACGATTGACATTCGAATTTATGTCTTCTGACGCATTAACAAGCTTGTTAAATGCTTGTTGTAGCGAAGTGACTCGGTGTTCGACCAAATGTTCTCTATTATTCACCTGACTTATTTGTGAGTCGAAGTGCCTAGCGTCTTCTTCGTCTAAGTTGCCTGAGATAACTTTAACTAAGGAACCTAAAGAACTAAATATGGCTCGTTTACTTATTTTAGATATAGGTAAAATCTGATGTATTTTATTATTTGTTAAATCTATGGATGTTTCTATTTGCTTAATTAACCCCCTAAATTCATCTCCAACTTCACTATTATTACTAATAATCTTACTTACGCAATTATATTGTTCAGTATTAATATCTATTTGTTCAACTACCAGCTTTAAATCTAATGTTTTCAAAATGGTCCACGAGTTATTCCTGATCACTGCCATCCCAACTTTCAGAGGAGCTATCCCCGGATTGGTGTTCAGGTTCTGTAGATCTAGGCCGTTGGACAGTTTTGCCAATGCCAGACGTACTAGCCACGACCTGTGGAGGACGTTTAATATTTTTTATAGCTACTCTAGTTTGTCTCTTATTAAGTTTAACGGGTATTATATTATGATCCGGTTTCCCTATGACTTTGGCTTTTTCAAAACGTGGCTTATCTTTTGCTTTTCTTGTTCTAGTAGTTTTCATAAAAATATCGTCCCCTTCTTTAATTTCTGGGACTTCCTCACCTCCTCTTTTTTCTCTAACCTTAATCTTATCTGTCTGTAATTTCTCGGCTACATATTCATAAAGAACTTTAAGACGTTTTCTATGATCTTGTAAGAGCTTTTGCATCGAATTACGTTCCCTATCTATATCGAAGACGTTACCTGAATCGGTGGTACCGAAAACAATTTCAAATGGTGTAAAGGTTGTTGCGGAATGAATACTATTATTATAAGCCATTATCGCATATGTCATCACAGAGCAGGCATCAAGATCTGTCTTATCGTACTTAGCTAATCTATATATTTCGTTAATGGTGGAGTGGAATCTTTCAACTATTGCCATGGAACTAGGGTTATTTGGTGTTCCTATGTGGAGCTCTATTTTATAAAGATTTAGAAGTTCTTTTATTAATTCGTTATTGAATTCTGTACCTGAGTCGCTATTTATTTTCTGTGGTAAACCATACATACTAAAGTATTTAATTAAATTATTGCGATGGCTATTGTTATGATTGTTATTTTGCCTAAATTGGAATGAATTATTTGACGAGTTAAAAGAGCGATTATTATTAACGTAGGGTGACAAATTATTTTGATTATTAAATGTATTTGCACTAGATTGCTCCGTATGGGAAACATTTCTAGGTGAATAAGTGTAATTATTGTTAGGACTCGGCCTAAAGTTTGTTCGATTAGAGCGTGAATTTTTACTTTCATAAACTGACTGAAAATTTTGTTCTTCTAAGACAATTTTCAAAGCGTCTTCTAGAGTAGTCACGTTCCGTAATCTCACAAGTCTAACTAGATATGCCGGTAAATTATAAAGAAACGCATTTAGTGAACTATGGTTATAAATAGATTGTTTCGCTAGACGTAAGTTCGGATCGTCAATCGTTTCGCTAATCTTAGAAAATAAGACACTTCTCAAATGTTGTATCCTGTGACAAAATTCCTGGTAATTTTCATTACGGTTTAATTTTAAGGATTCGAGTTCCAAAGCCAAACATTCCTCGGATCTCGGGTCACCAAAATGTTGGCTTAGTAATGTTTTTAATTCGTCCCAATTATTAATATGATCCCGTTCTCCAACTAGGTTCGCAGCTTCCCCGGATAACCTACTTGTAATAACGTGGAATAAATATTCGTTTTGTAACTGGCTTCCTCGGAATGAATGGAGTATGTACTCGCATTTTTTTATAAAGAGTGGTAAAAGTCTAGTATCACCGTCGAAATTAGGGATAATTTTAACCATTTCCATAGGAACTCTCACTAAATTTTCCATTTTTCTTTCTTTTTGTTACAGAATACACTACCAATAAAAAATAAAAAAAAATACTCTTCGGTTATTATTATGTGAATTTATAAGGAAATTAAATGAAATAATTTAAATTCCTCAATTACTTAACTAATTAGAATAATTAACTAAGTGTGAATTTATCTAGTAATTAGGCGTAATTAATCCCACAAAACCAGAATATAAACACACACAAAATAGGGGAATAAGAAGGGTAGGAAAATACAGATTGGTGAAGAAGATCTACTCACAGTGCTGCAGTTTTCCCCATGCTCCTTCTGGAATATTGGTGCTCTGTCCTTGAAGTTGGTCTGTTCCTTAATAAATTTGTTTGTTCCTTTTTTCCCGATTAAAACGTT